ATTGTTCAGAGTGTTGGTGACATAGATGAGGATATTATCAGCAGAATTCAAGTTGGATGTTTGAAGTGGAGGAATGCATCAGGCTTGTTGTGTGATAGAAAAGTACCCCTCAAACTTAAGGGAAAATTCTGTAAGATGGTGGTGAGGCATGCAATGCTTTATGGTGCCGAATGTTGGCCATTAAAAGAGAAGCATAATACTATGTTAAGTGTGGCGGAGATGAGGATGCTCAGGTGGATGAGTGGCTTTAGCCTTAGAAATAGGATACGAAATGAGCATATACGTGAAAAGGTTGGAGTAGCTCCAGTAGAAGATAAGATTAGAGAGAGTCGTCTTAGATGGTTTGGTCACATAAAACGGCGTCCTTCTGATGACCTGTTAGGAAAGTAGAGGTATTAAGTTTGACTTATGCTAAGAAAGGTAGAGGCAGACCTAAAAGACTTGGTTAGAAAATATTTGAAATGAATTTTTTTTATTAGATTTAAACGAGAATTTGACTTTTAATAGGACTCAATGGAGAAAAAGAATTCATGTAGCTGACCCCATGTAACTGGGATAAAGGCTTGATGTTGTTGTTGTTATAGTAGTAGTAGTAGTTAATTTATATGTTAAAAATGAAGTTCTATTACTTAATATACTATTTACATTAAGAATGGTATGGTTATATCGTTCTAAAATTTAATTAATTCAGCATTAATAAGTTTAAACTCCTGTAGCACAACTCTCAATACACTACATAATATAAAAATCTTATCCACTAATTTTAGCATGCAACTTTGTAGATTTAATCAGATCGTTGGGAAAAGTTTGAGCTCAAGTCTTAAAGCCTTATCTAGTAAGCCCTCCTCCATTCGATCGTGCTTCAGCTGGAAAATCCTATGCAGAGGTTCTGTGGGGAGGAAGGGAGCGGATGCAAGAGGAGGCAGTGTGCTAGGGTTCGACAGATGTGTGGAATGCTTGTTGTGAGTGTAGAGGGCTTTAATTGGTGGAGTAAATTGCATAGGAAGGAGTAAACAAAAAGGAGAGGAATAAGAGTATAATGAGAAAATTTTGAGAGAATGAAGGTAAACATTCTTTTTATTATTTGATGGTTGTCATGTGAATTTGTAAATATTGATAAAGTTGCTAAAGGAACTTATACCACAACTGTGTTGTTAGGATAATTTTGATTGGTATATGAAGAGAGGAGAATCTAGTTGTGAGATAAGTTGCTAAAGGTGATGAAATGATTGTATTAAATTTCTTGAAAAAATAAATGGTCGAATTTTGGAAATAAGAATTGTGAATTGTGTAGGTAATTTACAAGCGAAAAGGGTTACAAGGTGCCGAATTTGAGGAAGCAACTCAACAATGGGGTAAGAAATGCAATTTAAATTACACAAATAAATGTTATCATTTCTAGAAATGTATAGCTGCATTTAACCAAAAATGAAGAATAAAAAGGTATTAAAGTTACTTCTATCAATTAAATATGTATGTAGTCAATTAGTCAAGTATAAACGACCACATGTAAATTTTAATGATTTAAGCTTACAATAAGGTATTATATGTTTCGATAAATATTTTCCCAAATGACAATATTTTGAAAAGAAAAGCACATAGTTATGTATAGCTTTCTTACTCTTCTTATGTAAGAAATATATATGATAATAAGTCCTGAAGCATGTAATTATCAGTCAATTATGACTTTAGAACTTTGAAGCTTAATAAATAGCATATTAATAATGTGTTGGCAATAATGTCTTCTAATACCTACGTAGGTGGGGCAAAAATGACCTCGTGGGAAAAAAGGGACCCTAAAAGAGGCGAAAGGGTCCTTAATATAATTCAATGGTGAATTTTACCTGGGCTCCATTGAACCTCATTATGAAGTATATATATATATATATATGGTCATAACCTAAAATTGTTAATTATGTTATTATTTATATGCTTCAAAGAATTTGACAAATGTTTATAAGTTCTATGAGTAAAGTGAAATATGTGCTTACCGATGAGATGTTGGCAAACTTGTTGATTGAAATTTTTTATTTTTAATTAATTTTTCAAATTTCTTTATAAATTTAGTTTGTTATGATTGAAACCATATTGTGCGTTATTGTTTATTTAATGATTTATTACATTTGCATGATTTGTGGCTTTGCAACTTACGAGATTTTTATTCTGCCTGTTGTTATAGGAAGGGGCAAGGATAAAGTGGATGTTGAATAGTTTTAGGTCATTATAAAACCTTATATTGTGTTGTATACCTGTGTATGTGAGTCAACAACAAAGGTATGTAAACTATTCTTTTTTATTAAGTATTGTTTTGGAGTTTGTAGTGGTTCTATAATTATTCATACATGAACTAAATGAGACATTTTTTTTCTATAATGTTTTGGAGTTCGTAGAGACTCTATAATTATTTTTTTAATCTTTCATTTCGTACCAGAACACCATTTAAGTATTTGTACCAATACAGTTACAACCCTTTCAATTTCTATTTCCTTTTCCATTTCTATTTAACGTGCATGGGTAAGTTGCATCCCCTGCCAATACTATAAGGGGGTGAGCTCCTGTATTTCATGTATTTACCTTTTCCTTCTTTTATTAATTTCATTTTCATATATTTCCTTTTATGATTTTTATTTTCAAATACATCATTACTCGTATATACATTACACTATAAACCTCAATCATTCAGTCGTACTCAAGTTATTACATATTTAACACTGAACTATATCATTCATACAATGATAATTCAGTATGATTGTAAATCATATTTAAACTTTCTTCATTATTTCTATTATTTATATAGCATACAATAATAGCAATAATTAAAAGGAATTGTTATAACATAAATTAAAGAAATTTAAATTGCTATAAAATAAATATGCTATATTTACAGACTTTGAATATTTTTGTATGTTTAGATTCCTTCCAAATCTTTAATACTCTGAAAAATACCTCCAATACGCGTCTTAGTATGAAAACCTTTCTCAGCTCAAAATAACATAATAATTTATTTAATATTAAAATCTAATTTTGATGTCTCAAATATCATCAAAAGAAACATTAAATTTTCTTCAACCATTTTCAAAGAAGACTTTTACTTAATTGAACCTCATTAGCATAACATTAAATAGCTCTAAATTATCCCCAAAATTTTTATTAAATCAAAATAATTACCTCACTACAACCTTTTCTTACTTATAAATTTTTTTCTTTTACTGTCGGATCGAGATAGAATTTTCACCTTACTGGATTTCTTCTTTTTGAAAATTAAATTGTATTTCATCATATTACTTCAATTTGAGAAACGAGCAAAATGAAAGTGTACAATATCAAATTAAATCACTTACGCTTCTGTAAGAAGAAATTTCAATTTCCATATTCTTTCATTTTCTCGTTCAGCTTTTCTTATTTACATTTAGAGAAGGCATTCCTAGTTGTTTATATAAAATATCACGGAATGATTTATACATAAATGGGAAGAATCAATCTTTTAGGATTAGATGGGGGCATATAAAGAATATTAATAAAAGTATTTTTTGAGAGTAAGTTTTAAGATCTTAAGATTATGTCTGTGCATGAGGATGTTAATATTCTGTAGGAAAAAGTGGTTAGTGATATTAAGAATATTGCAAAAGATGTGCTTTGAGTTTCGAAGGGAAAAGCTCCTAATAGTAAAAATAGTTGGTGGTGGAATACAAATGTGCAATAAAAGATAAAAAAAGATTTGTTATAAAAATTGGTTTAGATGTAAAAATTCTGATAATTGGGAAAGCTATAAAGAGGCTTGTAAGGAATCTAAGAAAACTATTTGCGATGTAAAGGGCTTAGCTTTTAATGATTTATATAATAGATTAGATACTAAGGAGGGAGAAAGATATATGTATAAATTAGTCAAACAAAGAGATAGGAGTAGTAAGGATTTAGTTCAAGTGAAGTATATTAAGGACGAAGATCAAAAAGTTTTTTTCTTATAATATGATATTCATCAGAGGTTGATGAGATATTTTGCTAAGCTTTTTAGTGAAGAATGTGAAAATACGATTGACTTTAGTAATTTTATCACCCTAAATAAAAAAAAAAAAAGATTTTTGTTTTTATCGGTGTATAAGTAAAATCAAAATTATAGAGTTTTTAAAGAAAATGAAGTATGGAAAAGCTGTTGGACTTGATGATATTTCAATAAAGATGTGAAAATGCTTAGGAGATAAAGGAATTTTTTGACTTACTAAACTTTTTAATACTATTTTGAAGACTAAAAAGATGTCAGATCAGTGGAGAATGAGTGTCTTAATTCTTATTTTAAGAATAAAGGTGATGCTCAGGAGTGTGCGAATTATAGAGGACTTAAGTTAATGTGTCATACTTTAAAAATATTGGAGCGAGTTATGGAGCGTAAGTTGCGGCGTGATACTAATGTTTCTCAAAATCAATTTAGATTCATGCCAGGTAGGTCTACTATGGAAGATATACATTTATTGAGAGGTATGATGTAGAAATATAGAAAAAATAAGGAGGATCTACATATGATATTTATTGATTTAGAGAAAGCATATGATAAAGTTCCAAGAGAAGTGTTATGGAGAGTTCTTGAAAAGGTTTTCGCTTGAGTGGATCTAAAACTTAATATATATAGTGTAATTTTAGTAGCAATAGACCTAGTGAGAGGATTGTGACTTTGGGCGATCAAGTCATTAATAAGAGTACACGATTTAGATATCTTGGTTTTATTGTTCAGAGTGATGGTGAAATAGATGGGAATATTATCAGCAGAATTCAAGTTTGATGGTTGAAGTGGAGGAATGCATCGGGCTTATTATGCGATAGAAAAGTCCCCCTCAAACTTAAGTGAAAAATCTATAAGCTGGTGGTGAGACCTGCAATGCTTTATGGTGCCGAATGTTGGCCATTAAAAGAGAAGCATAATAGTAAGTTAAATGTGGCAGAGATAAGAATTCTCAGGTGGATGAGTGGATCAATAGCTTTTACCCTTAGAGATAGGATACGAAATGAGCATATATGCGAAATGGTTAGAGTTCCAGTAGAAGATAAGATTAGAGAGAGTCGTCTTAGATGGTTTGGTCACATAAAAGGAGACTGGGCTATGCGATAGCGGTAGACTTGGAATTTCAATGAAATCGGAACCGTCAATTTGATTTCCTGATTTAGGGAAGGATGAACCCGATCAGATCCGATTTGACTCGATTTGAGATGAGTCAACAAGAAAAATGCATCAACTAGGATGTCAACAGGCAAATCTAAAACATAAGTATTATAATTGATTTTTCTTTCATGCAATTTCTTTTATCTGGTTTGTGTTAAAATTTGGAGATATAGAAATCATAACAAAGTCACTTCATTGTATTCTCGAGTGCTTATTTCATAATGCACAATGTCTAAGTATTTCTTATTGTGCAATTCAATTTGTTATCTTGCTTCATCATATAAATTTTAACATATGTTATGCAATTGATGTATCAAAATCAAAATTTGTACGTAGCACTAAAGGGAAATGTTCAATAAGTTTACACAATCGAGAAGTTTTGTAATGTAAATACAGCGAGCACCAGAGCAAACAAACTAGCACTATTCTGTCAGTCCAATAAACTCACTATATATTTCAAAAACAGCGTCCTGCAATTGGCATCGCTTTTGATTTTGGTTAGTTTCAATGCCAGAAAAGTGCAGTATTAATTTGTGGGGATTTCATGTTAATTTTCTAATAATGCGTTTGAGTCAGTTATCATTGCAGTTATCTAATGACAAAATCTCTTTTGTAGGCCTGTGCCACCTACCCAGGTTGTAGTAGCTGTTAGTAATGCTTATGGCCGTGTCCGGAAGCCATTGGGCTTCAAGCTTGTTGGTTTGTTTTCAAACTTTGAAATATTGATTGGAGGGAGCCAATCTGGCAGCAATGCTGATTGTTCCATCTGGATGCCAATTCCCCCTCCAGGCTACACTGCTGTTGGCTGTGTAGCACAAGTGGGAAGCCAGCCACCTTCCAATCATGTTGTCTATTGCCTTCGATCTGATCTAGTAACATCTACGACATATTCAGATTGCATATTTTATGTCCCACCACAACCGAGGTATTTAGTTGTACTTTTAGCATATTTATTTTAGTTGTGCATTGAATGTTATCTAACTTCCAATTTCTATTTTCATCTTAGGGCTTTGTCTGGTTTTAGTATATGGCATGTTGATAATGTTCTTGGCTCTTTTTATGCACACTCATCAGTGGATTACCCCTCTAAGGATGAAAGTTTTGATTTGCACCAAATTCTTCTGCGTTACCCCAATTGGCATTTCTCTGTTAAGAAGAATCCTCAATCTGCTAGTCATGATCAGCAAACATTTAACTCTAGTAATGCCTCTTCTGGATGGGATATTCTGAGAACATTATCACAGACAAGTTATTTCATGTCAACGCCACATTTTGAAAGGATCTGGTGGGACAAAGGCTCTGATTTAAGAAGGCCAATTTCAATCTGGCGACCAATTCCACGTCAGGGTTTTGCTCCCCTCGGTGATTGCATAACAGAGGGGTTTGTACGGAAATGTTGTAACCTACTTTCTATTTCTGTGATCTTATTAGTGATTATCAATTACAACATGTTTCAGGTTAGAACCACCAGCTCTTGGACTAGTTTTCAAATGTGACAACTCGGTGATTTCGTCCAATCCTATTCAATTTACTAAAGTTGCTCATGCTGTTGGCAAAGGGCTTGAAGATGCTTTTTTCTGGTACCCAATTCCTCCCCCAGGCCATGCTTCTTTGGGATGTGTTGTCACTAGAAAAGATGAAGCACCTCGAAAGGAGTCATTTTGTTGTCCAAGGATTTATCTCGTTAATCAAGCAAATGTATTTGAGGAACCAATCTCTAGATCTACTAGTTCAAAGGGTCTCAATTGCTGGAGCATTTGGAAAGTTGAAAATCAGGTTTTAGATGCATTTATTTGTAATTGCATTATGTCTCCAAATTGAAAATTGTAAATGAGCTTCTAAGAGAAATTTTCAGAGTATACTATAATAGTTAGTATGACAGTCCAAGTTTATTGTGTTTAATCGTTCACTGTTTATTGTACATTTTTTTCTTTTCTTGCCTTCATTCTTTAAAATTTCTTTCCTATTTGTAGGCATACACATTTCTTGCACGATCTGATCTAAAAAAACCCTCAAGTCGTCTGGCATACACAATAAGTGAATGCGTGAAACCTAAAACACGTGAAAACATCAGTGCTGAGATGAAGTTGGGGTGCTTTTCACTCACTGTCTTAGATAGCTTTCTTGGAACAGTATGTAATCTTGTAAACTCGTTTTTGAAGGGAACTAAATGCATTGCTTCCATCTTTTTGTATTTGTTTTGTTTATTAGTTTTACTGTGTGATGGTCTAGATGACACCAGTAATTGATACAACTATCACAAATATAAATCTTGCCACACACGGGGGGCTTGAAGCAATGAATGCCGTACTTATTTGTTCAATGGCTGCATCAACATTCAACAGACAGTTGGAATCATGGGAGCCTCTTGTTGAACCATTTGATGGAATATTCAAGTAATAAATTTGACCTTTTCTTTCATAATATTAGCATAATATATCTGTCTTTTAAATTTTAATTTCCTTCTTTGATCTTTATAATCTTTGATTTGTGGCATTAATTGGCTATAACCCGTTATGATGCCCCACTAATTTTTTTCCCCCTTAACCTTCTTAAGACTTGAGACGTATGATACATGTGAGCATCCTCCTTCAAAAATTGGAAAGCGTATTCGTGTTGCTGCGACTAGTTCCCTTAATCTGAATGTCAGTGCAGCCAATCTTGAGACCATATCCGACACTGTTGTTTCATGGGAGAGACAGAATAACTTGGTCCATACATTGTCTAAAAAAGCTGAGGTGATCTATAATCTCTTATGAATTATATGTTCTCCTAATTTATTAGCTGACTAACACACCATCTTTCTAGGTAGCTGGCGAAGTTTCAAAAAATTCTCATTTATCATTTTCAGCATTGCATGAAGATGATTTACAAAAAGTGGTCATTGAAAATAAGCTAGGTTGTGATATTTACCTGAGGAAAATAGAAGAAATCTCCGAAGATATTGAATTGTTACGAAGTAACAACCATACATCGTTGTTGGTACCGCCTCCACGGTTCTCTGATAGGTTGAACGTAGCAACAAAATCTAGGGAAACACGCTATTATGTCTCCATACAAATTTTTGAGTCCAAGGTACTTGTAATAATATCAACACTTTTGGAAAGTTTGTACTTTGTTTCTTGTGCTGATATTGGAAATCTGGCCAACGTTACTTCAGGGCTTTCCCATTGTTGACGATGGAAATAAGCAAGACTACTTTTGTGCACTACGCCTTTTAATTGACAGCAAGGTATCAGATCAATACAAGCTTTTTCCACAAAGTGCAAGGACACGATGTGTGAGACCATTGGTATCAGAGGTAAATGGCATGGCTGTGGGCTATGCTAAGTGGAATGAAGTTTTCATATTTGAAGTTCCTGAAAAGGTTGGTATTGAAGAACTTTTTTTTGCAGCTTTAGTGGTCTCCTAGAGTTCAATTGATTACGCCATTCTTTTAATATAAAATATATATCATATTATTTTGGGGTCCTAGATTTTTGTCATGAGAAACTTCAACGTTACAAAGACTACTTTGTAGTATTTCACAGATTTACTAATCAATAGCTAACATTATTTGAATACAACAGTTTAGTCCAGATGATTAATTGCATCTCCTGTAGAAACTATAACTATCATGGATGTTGATTAGATGTTAGTGTTAATGGATTCTTAGTTATAGGAGACGGGATGTAAAATGGTGCATCAGGAGGAGGATGGCGTGTTTGATGATTATAAAACTTTATTGAAGAAGGAGAAAGAATTAGAGTAGGTGGAAATAAGAATAATTGGTTGGTAGTAATGGAATGTTTCTTGAAATCTAACATAAGTTGAAATATAAAATTGATTGGTAGAGGAATTATTAGCGATATCCTTTATTAGTGCGAGAATTATTGGAAGATACATTTAATCGTATGAGAAGGTTTATCCCATCTAAGAATTAAACGAATATCGTCAAAAACACAAGATATTACTGTAATAAAAGAACTTTTTAATAAAGGATGGTGGAGTAGCCCTATTCATACTGGTGGATGGCACATAGTTGATTAACTAGTGGGTTTAATTTTTAGAGCATTATAATGTTTAAAAATTGCATGAAACCTTCTTTTGGAACATTATGGTACAACAAAATTGGGAAATGTCGATGCTCAAATTTAGCTTCCCCGTTCTACTAGAAAGTATAAGGGTAGAATGACTATGCATGTCAGCATTTTCATGATAAAAATGAGAAGTGGATTACATATATTCTTGGGTATTATCAAAATGAAAATTTTTAATATTGGTGTCTTTATTAATAAAATGGATACAAATAATTATATCATAAATGTGTTAAGATAAGATCTATACCTTAGGCATTGGAATGTTTTTCTGTACAATAAAACACTACTATGAGAAGATTTCGATACTAGAAAAGTGGTATGGTTGTATTTAACATACTCATAAGCCTCACATTTAAACTTAGGGACAAAAGAGGGATGATGAGTGAATCCCCTATGATGTTGAGGAGTATGATCTAGATGATAATGGCATTGGTAAGAGGAAGTAATGAAGGAGAGAGCAGTGGATAAAACCTTTAGAGAGATAATAAGTGCTTTCAACTTCTAAACTACTTTCAATCACCTTCTTCGTATTGAGATCTTGCAAAACACATTAGGTGGGAGAAATGATTAATGAGTAGCTATCAAATTTTCTTAGGATGTTTATCGTCAACAGGTTGAGAAAAAAATTTGGAAATATATAAAATATTATTCAAGTTAATGAGGAAGAGATGAATAAATCTGATCCTAGAAATAGAAGGAATTCTATTAGCAGTAATGACATGAACGAGAGTTTACATGTTAAGGGAGGAAAATCATTTGGAATTATCTATTGTCATGCCCCATGATAGCCCCTCTCTGTCAAACAAAGTATAACATTGACATGTTTGATTAAATTTTTGTATATTATACTTTCTAACCCGAAAGAATTTAATAATTAATACAAATCAAATGAACGGAAATTTTTTCATTTATTTAAGTAGAGAGTTTCTAATACACATAATATTCCTTTGTAGTCAATCAAACCTTTGTCCCACACATACTGATTATGCTTTATATCAAAAATAAATTAGTCTGATCAATATATGATCATCATTCAGGTTCTACTTTATCATTTTCCTTACCTAAAATAACATTCAACATAAAATTATATGAGCTTATAAGCTCAGTAAGATAAACACGAACTAGTCTAATACTTTGTGTAATTGTTAGAATGAAATTACTTGAATAATAACTGATTTAATAGTAAGTGAATTATCTAATTGGAAGCAAAATTTGTAATAGAATGTTAGAGCTTAACACATTGAGAGCATTACATTAGATAATGTGTATATATTTCATCTTGCTTGACAAATCTTTTATAATCTCTTTTATTACTAAAAATGAATGTTTTTTTAGCTTTTAAATGTGTTATGTATATAAAAAGAGGCTTTATGGCTTTCATAAGCTCAAAGGCCAGGTATTGAGGACTCTTTTGCCCTTAAAAGCGCACATTTTTATTACCTTATTTGTATAGGATATCATATACATTTTAGCTTGAGTATACCTCTATATGGGCTTACCTTTGTCGCCATACTTATATAGCCGATTTCATTTTAAATATGATAGTAAACTTATACTTAATATAAATAATATTTCAATATAGTTTATGTGCAAATTAAATTTCATCTCATTTATTCTCAATTGATTAATATATATATATATATATATATTTCCTAAATAAAAGTTGAGTATCATATCTAATTGATGAGGTTGATGATCAACTGCAGGATAGACTTACTAGCACCTCAAAACCTCTTTCGTTGTAAACAATCTATGAAAGTTAGATTTTTCAATTCATTGCATTTCCCAATTTACATGTTAAATCATAATCAAATTAACCCGAAATTAAAATTTTACCTCAAAATTATTTTCCTCATATAAGTATCAAAGCATACTGCCTTGAATTGAAATTATGTTACTGAAGAAAATGCAGAAATCTAGATTTTACTTTAATTCCCTAACCATCTTCCTCTCCTTCCCTCCTTTATTTTCCCTTTTTCTTCTTCCAGCCAACCCCATCATCTTGAACTTTCTTCTTTTTCCTTCTTTCTTCATCAGCCTAATCTTCCAGCTCTATATTTCCACCAATCGCAAGTTATGGATGGAGTATTATGTCACAACCATATTCAATAAGCTCGATTTAACGAGCCGTCTGTGTGCAACCCTTCCAAGCGAACCGAAGCTCCCCCTGGTGCGAGACTTCCAGGCGGACCAAAGTCAAATGCCTGCAATTCTTCTAGGAGGAAAAGGAAGCCAGAGTTGGTGGTTTGAAGCCTCCTTCCCATTTCAAAGTTGAGCATGGATTGAGCCCTCCATTTGCTTTCCTTCTCAAAGGTCAGTTGAGATAGCGGCTTCTTTTCCTCCTTCCATCAACTCCGACGAACTTGTAAGCATAACGCGACTTCTGGAAGTTTTCAAACAATGACGATAGCACCTTTGGAGCTTCTTTGGATAGTAAATTCATATCTCGGTGTGGATTGGATAGCAACGGTGACGTTTGGAGTACTTGGACAGTAGCTTGTGGCCTTACTCTTCCACAGTTTTTTTGCCTTTGCAAGGCGAGTGCATTGTGGTTTGCGTCATGGCAACCCGACGAGGTAAAACCATTAAAACTTAGAGAAACCTAGGTTCTCAAAGCCAATAGTTGTATGGCTGATGATCCAAAGTCTTAGGTTTTTAGAAACCTTGTATTTTACTTTTCAAACCTAAAAAGAAAATCCCATTTATTTGTTGTCCTCTTGGAAAATTTTGGGAAATCTAGTGATTTTCATCAAATGACCCTCATGTGAGAGCTAAAACAAGACGTCGTTGCACGTAGGGTTGTTGGATTGGTATCCAACACCCCTCAAATGCATGTATTAACATTCATGTTGCTTTTAAATCCATTACCTACAAATGAACCATAGGCTAGGTGATGTTTTTCCCATCTTAAGACAAATATCGAGATGTAGGTTTCCTTACATTGCAAATCAGGTTTTTCTCCTTAAATCAAACATTATGGCAAAATTGATATGAAGTTTGGGGTTTTATATTTGCTAAATTTGTAGATTCTCCATGGCTTTCATGAATGCTCGAAATGTACTTAGTTAGATTTTATGTATTATGAAGCTCATGGAGATGATGACTAATAAACACCTCTAATTCATAGAAATCCCTATAATTGGAGATGTTTGTTCATGCTTCTAATGCTCCAACATATGAGAAAGTTCTCAAGCTTCAATTCGTTTGATTGTATGCTTTTTTCTTTCAAAGCTTAGATCATAAAGGTGATTCATTGTGTGTTGAAGCTTTTAAACTTTTGTGGAATTTTGCAAATGTTTGGAGATGATTTCAATCAATTTGGAGGCATTTTGTGTTGTGAGATTTCTCATTAACCCCCCCCCCCCCCCCCCCCCCCCCCCCCCCCCCCCCCCCCCCCAAGGTTTATGTTGGAATCCCACATGGAAAGCATAATTAATTAAGTTCATATACAATATTTTACAAAGTAAAAATAAAAGGGAATGTTTTAGATTGTTGCATGTCTAAAGATTTGCAAACTCACTAACATGTTTATCAAATCTCTAAATACTTGTGAAACAAGTGTGGAGTATTCTATGGTTTTCAAAAGCTCATAGATTGTACCCCACTACATACTGAAGTTGATAAACATATTTGTTGCAATTTGCAAGTTGTTTGATCAATAATGACCAATTTAAACATCTAAATGTCTCAAACAAGAAAAATGATGAACCTTTTCGTGCTCCTAGATTTCTTCTAGGTCATATCAAATTAATATTTAGAATATTATTAGAAGCTTCCAAGTCTCATAGATCATGTCAAAATTTATTTAGAAAACTCTTTGAAGCTTTAGGAATCATTTCTTTTTTCCATGAGTCCAAAACATTCATGGAAGAATGAGGAATTTCCTTTCTCGTGCACATCCTCCTTCAAACTTGATGCTTAGAACTTCCTCAAAGTTCCAAGTTCTATGTGCCATGAGTTCTAACGGATATAAAGAGCTTTCTTTCAAACGCTCTTTTCTCCTCATGTGTAATTTTTTTGGGTTTTCTCAAAGCTCTAAATATTTTATTACACGAATGATGAAGACTCTAGGGTAAAATCCTAAGTTACTTCTTCATTTGTTGATGATACAAAAGTAACAAATGAACATCTCCCATTCAAGTCTCCTAATCATGCCAAAATTGATTTAAGAATCATTTTTTAACGCCTTAAAGGTGTATATTTCCCTTCTTCAAATGAATCCAAAACATTCATAGAAGATTAGGAAGCTCCCTTTCAAAATGTATCTCTCTCCCCATGTATGATACTT